TTGTGGCTTCTTGATAATATACAACAGCTTTTTTTTATTCTTTTTAACAACGTGGTATCTTCACCCAAACTCGCGAGTTCTGCCCATTTCTATCAACTAACGTGTACGGATTACTTATTTCGCCAGTGATACAAAGTCAAAGAAACCATATCAAATATGTGTTACGTAAGCACGTGTGAACGTACAACACTACATATTATATATTTGGTTGACCAAATATTAACATTCAACATTTCAAGTCTTCTCATACAACATATAAATTTTTGAACATAAAATGTCAGATACAAAAGACAATAACCCATCAGGTGAAATTATTAAAATCATCAATGCTTCTAATAAATTGAACTTCATCGAATGTCAAAAATCAGCCGATATGAATGATTCGGATGGAATATTCTGGCTTGGTTATTGTTACGAATATGGAATTGGAGTTGAGAAGGATGAGAATAAGGCATTCATTCATTATCAAAAATCTGCAGAGATGAATAATCCTAACGGAATGTATCAAGTTGGTTATTGCTATTATTTAGGAATTGGAGTTGAAATAGATATGTATAAAGCGTTTATGCATTATCTAAAATCTGCTGAGGCCGAAAATACTATGGGAATTTGGAGAACCGCCATTTGCTACTATTACGGAATTGGTGTGGAAAAGAGTGAAGACAAATACAAATATTGGATGGACAAGTACCGTATTTTAAATTTTTCAAAGTTTCCGTAAACGCATCTGAAATTACAATTTAAAATTAGAAATTCCTAAAACTATTATCTTTTAGGGAGTAAGTATAATCAATTTCATGAATTATAAGAATTATTTTTTTGCCAATAGTTCATGTATGTAATTCTACTTAAATAATATGCTCAAAATCGGTTTATTCACATTATTTTAGTCCGTAAGTATAAAGAATAAATAATATATTAATATAAGTATTAAAAAAGCCATTCAAGTTCATGAATATTTACTATTTAATTTTACTTTATTCGCGTTAATTAAGTCTGTAAGTATAAAGAACATTTATTAAACTAAGTATCTATTCAAGCTAATAACATTTACTATTTAATTTTACTTTATTCGCGTTAATTTAGTGGGTGAGTATAAAGAACATAAGCTATTCAAGTTCATGAATATTTACTATTTAATTTTATTTTAGAAAGTGAGTACAAGCATATTTAATTAACTAAAGTATTCTAAAATAACCTATTCAAGTTTATGAATATTTACTATTTAATTTTATTTTATTTGCGTTAATTTAGTCGGTGAATATAAAGAACATTTATTAATCAAAGTATTTAAAATACTGTAAGCTATTCAAAGTTTATGAATATTTACTATTTAATTTATTCGCATTAATTTAGGAGGCGAGTATAAAGAACATTTATTAATCTAAGTACTTAAAATAAGTTCACGAATATTATTTAATTTTATTTTAGAATGTGAGTGTAAAGAACATTTGTTAATCTAAGTATTTAAATAGCTATTCAAGCTTATGAATATTTATTATTTTAAAATTATTTTATTTGTGTTAATTTAGAAGGTGAATATAAAGAATATTTATTAGTCTAAGTACTTAAAATAAGCTATTCAAGTTTACGAATATTTACTATTTAATTTTATTTTATTCGCAATTAATTTAGGAAGTGAGTATAAAGAACATTTATTAATATAAATGTTTTAAAATAAGCTATTCAAGCTCATGAGTATTTATTATTTTATTTTATTTTATTCACATTAATTTAGCCAGTGAGTATAAAGAACATTTATTAGTCTAAGTACTGTATTTAAAATAAGTATTTAAGTTCATTAATTTACTTAATTTTATTCTAGATTGTAAGTATAAAGAACATTGATTAATCAAAGTATTTAAAATGAGCTATTCAAGTCCATGATTATTTATTATTTTATTTTATTTATTAATGTTAATTTAGAAAGTGAGTATAAAGAATATTTATTGGTATAAATACTATATTTAAAATATGCTATTCAAATTCATAAATATTTATTATTTAATTTTTTTTATTTATATTAATTTAGCTTGTGAGTATAAAAAACATTTATTAATCAAAATATTCAGAATAAGCTATTCAAGTTCATTAATATTTACTATTTAATTTTATTTTATTTGCATTAATTTAGTGTGTAAGTATAAAAAACATTATTAACCAAATATTTAAAATAAGCTATTTAAGTTCATGAATGTTTACTATTTAATTTTATTTTATTTACGTTAATTTAGTTGGTGAGTATAAGAAAATTTATTGATATAGGTATTTAAATAAGCTATTCATGAGTATTTACTATTTATTTTATTTGTTTATATTAATTCAGTCGGTGAGCATAAAGAACATTTATCAATCAAGATATTTAAAATAAGCTATTCAAGTTCATCAATATTTATTATTTAATTTTATTTTATTCACGCTAATTTAGTTTGTGAGTATAAAGAACATTTATTAATCAAAGTATTTAAAATAAGCGGCTCAATATCATAAATCTTACTATTTAATTTAATTTATTCGTTTTAACTTAGTCTGTGAGTATAAAGAGCATTTATTGTCGCAGATCATAATGAAATCAGATTAAAATGAAACTGGGAACCTTTCTTGCTCATCTTTAAAGCTTATAAAACCCACTTTTACTCTTTTATTACTAAAACTAACTCTAAACCCTAACCCTAACCCTAACCCTAAAAAATGTCCCCCAAAAAATTTTAAATTTTCCTAAAAAAATAGAAAATTTTCATTTTAATCCGATTTCATTTTAATCTGCCACATTTATTAATCTAAATACTGTATTTAATTAAGCTATTCAAGATCATGAATATTCACTATTTAATTTTATTTTATTCACATTAATTTAGCCTGTGAGTATAAATAACATTTATTAATAAAAGTATTTAAAATAAGTTATTTGGTTTTACTGTATTTACTATTTAATTTCATTTTATTTAGGGAGTGAGTATAAAAAGCATTTATTAATCAAAGTATTTAAAATAAGCTATTTAATTCATTTATATTTTAATTTCATTTATTTAGAGAGTGAGTGTATATAAAGAACATTTATTAATCAAAGTATTTAAAATAAGCTATTCATAAGTATTTACTATTTAATTTTATTCGCGTTAATTTAGCCTGTGAGTATAAAGAACATTTATTAATCAAAGTATTAAAATAAGCTATTCATAAATATTTATTAATTTTATTCGCGTCAATTTAGGAAGTGAGTATAAAGAACATTTATTAATCAAAGCATATAAAATAAGCTATTCATAAGCATTTACCATTTAATTTTATTCGCGTTAATTTAGATGGTGAGTATAAAGAACATTTATTAATCAAAGCATTTAAAATAAGCTATTCATAAGTATTTATTATTTAATTTTATTCGCGTTAATTTAGGAGGTGAGTATAAAGAACATTTATTAATCAAAGTATTTAAAATAAGCTATTTAATTCATTTATATTTTAATTTCATTTATTTAGAGAGTGAGTGTATATAAAGAACACTTATTAATCAAAGTATTTAAAATAAGCTATTCATAACGGTCACCAAATATGTTCTATGATCTGCAATATAATATTGTTAAACCGTGATAATTTTTTGATTACGTACCACATTTAACCGTTAATACCTACTATTTCATTTCTTTTAACGATTAACAATTAATAAAAAATTAATTGTTTTAATGTTCTATTCGATACATACGGGTTTATATTGTATGAACAGTTTTTTTGTTACTTTAAAATAGTCATTTTATATAGCAATTTTATGAAATGTTTTTTAAAGATTTTTTTTTAAAATAAATAAATTTTTTGTTAAAAGTAATTCAAATTCAAAATATTCTAATGAATAATAACAAAATTATAATCAGATCCGGTATTATAGTAATAAATACAAATGATTACAAAAAAAATAAATTTTATGGTTAATAAGAGGTATTATTCAGTTATCAATCGGTTCTTGACCAACCAGTTGCTTAACCGGTTAACTAACAGTACTATTCAATTTGTCGGTTCAGTTAACAATCAGGGGATATGTCATGCTGCAGGGGTAGGTTCTGTACTCCTATAAATTTTTATCGCATTTCTGCACTTATAATATGAGTTACAACTCTTTTTTTCTCTTCGAGTAAAAATTCATTATATATGTGGTGCACCACTAGAATTATAACTGCACCACCAACTCTAGCTTTGGATCACTTAATTGGTTCTTTCTCTTTCTTATTCTCAGGAAGAAATTGAAAGTAAGGCTAGAGCGAAATCTAAGAAACAAGAAGGTTCTAACGGCGATTCACATATAAGGGTTTATTTGGTTATCAAGAAACTTAGAGTCGACACTTCTACTCGGATTTCAAAGGTCAAGACTCAACTTAGGTTACAAGATTTTAACAAAGATAATGAGACAGAACAAGGATTATTAAACGTTTTATTGGAGACGCGAATATAAGTATAAACTACTTAGAGTTACTACTTCTACTTGTTATGTTTTCAAAGTGTTTAACTCAACTGAGCTCTCTTTGTTTTGATGCGAAAAACCTTCGCTTTTATACTTTTAACAGGGCTAAGAATATACAATTGCTACTTTCAAATAAATCCACTAAACCAACAAATCCAGGTGAACAGACCACCCAGTCAGTGTTGGAAATTCAAATACAATATGATAGTTTTTGTGAACATACTTTTTTTTTTATGTTCACATTAAAAAAATATAATGATCATAAATAAAGTTTTATTAATTAGATAAAAATTCTTCATGTTCACAAATGTGAGCATAAAATAAAAAAAAATTATGACTTTTTTAAAAAATTTATTTTCACTGTGAGCACCATGAACATATATGATTTTCAACACTGCGTCTGGTTATAACTAAGCTGAGTAAACTAACATATATATCTATAAACAATGATAAAAAAAAAAAAAGAAATACTAATAATAAAATAATAAAATTTTACAGGGAAAGATGACAGAACATACAAATCGGGTGTCTGATTTTAAGCCGATTATCATTCATTTTTTTTTTTATTATCAACATATTCAGAGAGTAGCAATTCTAATTGTTCTTTTTTTGCTTGTACAGAAGATATTTCTAACTTTAATTCTTCATTTGCTAATTGCTTGCTACTAATGTTCTGTTTAATAAGTTGCACATTAAATCTTTCTAATTCTTCATCAAACTTATGAGCTTTTGATATATTAGTTGCCATTATTGTTATATTGTCCAATATAAATCTTGAAATAGTAAAAGCTTGCAAATAGCGATAGCAAGGAAAAAGCAAATTGAATTATATTTATAAAATTTTTTAAAATTTGGATTTAATGTTAATGTTAATGTTAACAATAACGATAAGACATCGCAAATTACAAATTTAAATTAGCATGAGAGATTTTTGCTCAAATTTGAAATATCAATATCGATATGTATAGGGAAGCTACATCAATAAATGCAAACTTAGCAAAAATCTTTGTATAAAATATATGCATATATGTATGTGCATATGTACAATTAAACCTCTCTAACGCTAATGCTAAGTGCATGCCTTTGGAACTACACTTAAATAATGTGCATATAGAGAATAATAAGAAAAAATGCATTTATAGAGGTCAAGTATAAATTTGGGCTGGCACTTGAGCATGCATTTAAAGAGGATATACACTTATCTTTATAGAGGGTGCACTTAGCATTAGAGTCTGGCTGTATAATGCAGAAATAACACATTGAAAATTGGCACGCTCTTAGAACTACACTTTAATAATATACATATAGAGAATAATAAGAAAAAGTGTATTTATAGAGGTCAAGTATATACAGCTAAGTACACTTTCTATAACTACATACTCTCTTTAAATACACTCAATTGCTGGCCCAAATATATACTTAACCTCTATAAATGCACTTTTTCTTATTATTTCTATATGCATGTTATTAAAGTGTAGTCACAAGGGCATGTACTTAGACATATTTGGGCCGGCACTTGAGCATGCATTTAGAAAGGGTATGCACTTATCACTATCGTTATAGAAGGTGTGCTTAGCGTTAGAGAGGTCTAACTGTATTAAGCAAACATTGTTCTTGATGTATTATTGTTCAGCACGCGTGTTCAAATTTGCAATTTTAGTGTAGCAAAAACATGCACATTCACGCGTTTGTGCAATGAGATGACCATCATATGATATACTTCAGACTCATAATGCTATGCATTTTCTTAGTTTCTATACAAGAAGATTGAAGATTCTAGACTTACTTTATCGTTATCATTAACGTTATCGGCTACCGAATATGTCCCATGATCTGCAATGTAATATTACTTTTCTTTATTTTTTTAAATTTAGCATTATCGTTATTAGGTGTTATATTTTATTTCTTTTTTAACTCTTCTAAACGATTAATAGACCAATTGTTTGGATATTTGCTTAATATATATGGGCTAGGTGCTGAAAAAAGGGACCAAATTGACAATTTTTTCAAAATGAATTTTTTAAGTCTAACTAATTTAAAATTAGTTTAGGAACATTTATCATTTAAGAAAGAAACACTATTACATTAATAAAAATTTACAGTATAACCATTTGAAATCTGTAGTTTTCTATAAATTAATATAGATTTTATAATATAAAAATCAATTTTCCGTAAAATCAATTTTTTGTCAATTTGGTCACTTTTTCTAGCACCTAGCCCATATATGAGGGGGAGTCAATAGAAATCAAGCAAATTATTTTTATTAAAATTTTTTTTGAAACTTTAAACAATAATTCAATAAAAACTTAATCAAATTTAATAAAATTTTTTTTAAATGAATTCTACAAATTTGTAGTATTTATTTTAAAAAAGTTTTATAAAATTTGATAAAGTTTTAATTAATTTATCATTGTTTAAAGTTTCAAAAAAATTTACTTAGAAAAAATTTGCTTGATTTCTATTGACTCAACCCTATATATCGATATCGATATGAATTTAAATTACAAAATATTGCTTTAAATTATCTTTTATGTAACAATCTTTAATAATAGATTTTTAAAGATTTTTTTTAAGATCTATAAATTTTTTTATTGAATAGTTTATTTTAAAATATTTTAATAACAATAAATATTAACAAAATTTGTGATAAGACATAATATTGTAAAGTTTTAAAGTAATAAAATTATAATTGAAAATATTGATAGTTAGTTATCGGGTTATAACTGGTTAACTAGCCAGTTCAGGTTTTGCAGTTTCAAAAATCAGTTAAATTTATTGCTTTAACTAAAATAACAGTCACAGGACATGTCCATATAAGTGCTATTACTTATAAATCAAATGAGTTGACTTACCTCAATTTTATATGTAAATTTATGAAA